CGGACAGCTGATCGAGCCATGGTGGCATAATGCACCGACCCCCCTAAGCCCCCCGGACCTGCGGGTGCACGAAAGAACATCCTGTCAGACCATCACTCAGAGCCTTGATCTCATGCTGCTCTACCCCAGCCCGATGCAGCAAACCCTCTGTATAACCAGACTGCCTGGCCCGTAATGAAATCTTCCCCGTGCCTACCCTTGCCTGGTTTTCCAGAAAGGAATGGGATTGAAAAGCGTTTTTATCCACTGATCTGTGGGAAGCAGGAAGCTCCCTGTGGATTCAGACAGCCAGCCTGAGGTATGTCTTTAGCTGAAGGGATGCTCTCCAGACCTCAGACTCGAAAACCACTGAAGAACTGGGCAGAGTTTTAAGCACACAACCTTCCCAATCCCTCTCAGAGGTTTTCCACTCCATGCAGGACGCAAGTGCTGTGCACAATAGCCCTTCCAAAGCCCAGTTTTCCATGGCGGGCATTCACACCGACTCCTCCCCCTCAGAGATATTCCCCTTGTTCTCAGCAGAGATGGAATTAATTCGTTTCCCTCCCGTGACCAGACATGTAGTTTCAGGTATTTCGCACTCCTCTGCCAGTGTTTCAACTTTTGCTGGAACTGGATAAAAGTACAAAAGTACTGGTGAGGGAGACTGGGAAACATGACAGGCCAGGAGCATACCACACCTGTCCAACTTGCTTCAGAAAACAAAACTAAAAAAACCCAGTGTTCTGCCATAATCTAGCCTCATGATCTTTCAGCGGTGACACCGTTATTTAAGCTCATCAAATAGTTAAATCTCTGACATGGCTAACTGTAATTAAATTCATCTTGTAAATGACTACGCTGGATCATAGAGAAAGTTAATAAGAGGTCCTGGCAGGGAATCAGCCATGCAGTCGGAGCTCAGGAGCACCTGCCAGCAAGCAATTTCTGCTTGCTTTTAACAAACTGTGCCTCAAAATAAAATGAAAAAAGAGCTACCTGGTGATGGTGAGTTGGGATAGGTATTTGGTAGGCGAAAAACATAATAAATATAGGAAGCGAGAAGGCTGTTTCTGCCATGCTGGTCCTGGTTTCCATCCAAGTTCTTGTGAAGTCTGTTTATGATTGATGCCATCGCTTCAAAGGATGCTTGGCCCAGGTTAACTGAAAGCAATAAGTGAGGAGTTTGGTTTAGACTGCGGCAAAGCCTGAAATGTGCATTTCCTCCACCTTCTAAAAGATAAATGGTGAAGCTTGTTAAGAGTCTAGCAAGCATTTCTCATGAAAAACTGAACCTGGTTTTGGAAGTAGGTCTAATAAACAGCTTGTCAGGAAGACAGGTGTTGCAGTGATAAGCTTCCACTTTTCTAATAAAAAATATAATGAATTTAGGCCTGATTTCTGGAATCAGCCCAATTTTGGTCATCAACTGCAATGGTAACAAGATCAAGTCCTTGTTTAATTGATGGACAATATCCTTTGGGCATTTATCATACTTTTCTGGGTTAATTATTTCCTCCATTTAAGCCTTCACCAAAATAGAAACGGTATCGAAAAGAACAATTCCATTCTGTCCTGGAAAAAAAATCTGTTCTAAAAATGAGCACAGAAACCTACACACGGACTGAGGTAAATATTCTAAACAAATTACGAATGAAGCAGGCAGCAGCTGGAGACTGTAAAACTTAGGTCTTTTAAAAACGAGGCACTAATGTCCTCGATGCTCCATCCGGGCAAACTAAACCAACACAAAACAAAGAGTGAGAGAGCTTTAAAATGTCAAACAAAAGTTCAAACAAAATCTTCCCCAGAAAGAAAACCTTTCTAAAATAAATGATTGCTGTTTTTAAAGCAGTCTTAAACACCTACATTCCATCATATCCAAACTCAAGTTTCCTACAAAAAATCCCAACTGCTGTTTTAAATTCTAAGGACCTAATCCTGACTTTCACTTAAGGTTTTTGTTGGTACTGCCAGAGCATGGCCCATAACAGGGAGCAAAAGGAGGGATTATTCACACTGACAGTATCAGATCCACAACTTCGAGGAACACGGAGCATGTGTATCTTCTCCTCTTACCAACTTCAAGATTTTTCAAGGTGACTAGTAAGGTTGAAATTCTCAGTTTCTGAATGTCAGCATGGAAACACCCGAACAGGCTCCAGTGATGAGAAAATGCTGAGCATCCACCTCAGGAGAATCAGGCCCCTTTCTGGCGTCTCAATTGGGACACCAGATTACTCATCATTCTTGAAAACCTCCGTATTGAATACCGCTCCATGTGTACCACCACTGATCTGGATGCCAGCATGTTTTATTTTGAAGATACATGGTATATTAGTGGCGCTAAAATAAAGCATGAACCCAGACTTTTTTTATTTCCACATAAATAGGGTAAAATTGGAAGTGTCAAACTTTCAGCTATGTAATTCTCTATAAAACTTAAATAGAATACCTATTTGGCCTGCAATGACAGGAGGTCTTACTACCAGAAGAATCAGTTTGTCAAGCAGGAGATGAAGAAATCGCACTACCGGCTCCAGCTGAGAGGAATTTAAAGCTGAAATGCTGCTCTTCAGTTCATTTTCCAAGTTGTTTTCCATAATTCTCATGTCTCCTATTCGCACAGGGAACATGTGCTCATCCAGAGCATGGACAAGTGCAAAGAACTTGTCAAGATAAGGGTCCTACACACAAGCAGAAAAACCCAATAATCAGCAAGAAGCTCCAAAAGTAACTCCACTTTCTACGGATTTGTACCTCACAGAGGGATTCTCTCCCTCATTCTTCTCTCTGACCATTTAATCTCACAAGACCAGCAGAAACTCAACATCTTTATGTCTAATTCAATTGCAATTAGCCAATGTTCAGAAGCTGTCAGGGCAAAACTAGAGGACCCACAGACTGTGTATTCTTAGAAAAACAGACAAAAAAGCGCACTGAAATCATGTTACTATTTACAGCACAAATAAAACACAAAAACCCATCAAAATGACATACTGGGGATTAATAAAACAGAAATTGAAATCATTAGTCAAAATGATTGCCATCTTTCTTTTCAAATGAAAGAAAGACAGGTGAAAACCACATGGAGAAACAGAAGAGGCAGAGGGGAAGGTAAAAACAAGAAAACATCATATGCCTGGGCTGTATGTTAGACCTGTTGTATTAAACACAACAGTCTGAGGTCTGAAAACACTGTTGGCCATTCACCCCTTGTGAATAAAGGCCAAACTGCTCGTATTTTGAAGCAGAACTTCTCAGATATACTCACAGCAGAATGTGGAATAACAGGTCTGCTGGCTCAGAACTGAAAATGAGATCGTAATTTCACTACAAGTCATTATTACACTCTTCACAGTATCAATTTTGACAGCATTTCTGCTGTCAAAAGACTATCAAAGTCTTTTTCTTTTTTTTATTACAATGGCTGCTCTTAGCATTTACCTGAGTGTGGAGGGATGATACAGCAACAACTTCTACGTTGAAAACTCCTTTGTGGTTGTCCACCCACTTCATTCCAGGGAGTGGAACCTGGAAAGATGAGCCAGGATGTGACAGAAAGCAGAGCTAAGGCTCGTGGAACTACACTTGCCTTCTTGCTGTCAGATCACAGAGAAACACACAACTGTCTAAACTTCACAGTCTTTAAGAAGTAAATAACCTCTAAGAGTTACAGACACATGTGCGCACAGGCACACTCATACGTACACATACGCTCTATCCCTTTTTAAGAGAAGTATGCTCCTGCTGATTTTAGCAGGAAGAACAACTCACCTCCGGAGAAAGCACTGAATAAGCCTGTGGAGGTTTTTCCAATGAAACAGGTAGGCAGAACTGACCAGTCTTTAACCGTCCATTCTGAAGCATCGGTATCCACTTTAAAAAGAAGGAATTAACAAAAGAAAAAACAAAAACTTTTTCAGGTTTCCTTGAACTCTGCAGGTTTCCCTGTCAAATTCTCAGTTCTGCAGTGGCCTAGGAGTTGACAGGGATGCTAAATGAACTGCAACCAAACACATTATAAATACATCCTGTGTTGAACAACAAAGACTGAAAGACACTCACGGTGTATCCAACTGGCGTCTCCAGGGGAGTGTTTTGTTTTTGTTGGCAACTGACATGGTAGAAAGTAAAAAGCAGGTGGTGGTGATCGGTTAAAGTGGCTGGAAGCTTGATCTTGATTTCCTCGTGAAAATCAGGTGATCTGTGCAAAGACCAGACCCTCAGCTGAGTCGATAATACAAACAGCGCGGTTTACGAGCTTCTGCTCAAGACTGAACCCTTTGAGCTAAGGGATCTGGAGGGAAGGAGGTATATGGGCTATCCCAAGGGATTAAAGCTTCACTTTCTGATCACCAAGGACTGGCAAAACTTTGAATATGCATTCACAGCCCACAGAATGGAAAGTGGCAGCCCCCACCTCGCACGGGCACTCAGAACCACGCTGCCCCACATGAGCAATGAACTCTTGTCTCAAGGTGGAGACCGCCACAGCCCCGACCTGTGGGACTCTCCCCCATACATCCCTCCCCAGTACAGCTACAGAGACTATCAACATGTTACGGCCAGGTTCCGCACTCCTGATGCCAGCTGCAATGCAATTATTCTCAGGATTTGTTACTGAAGCCTCAAAGGCTCCAGCAAAACAAGAAGGCAGACGCTAACATGAGTTCCTAACGTGAATCTTCACGACTACTAACCTGACGGTTGCACTTAGAGCATCTGCTGAGCTGGGCTACGTGCTCAGGCTGACAGCCCCGACACAGTGCTGATCTGTACTAGAGCGAACGCCGACCCCGGCTCCTCGTCATCCCTAATCCCTACCGTCAGCATCGACTGACGCCGCACTAGTTGTGGGTGCTGTGTGGATAGCCGCTGTTAAATAATTAACCCTGAGATGGAGCCATTGGTGAGTTACTCCACTTTCACACTGGTAACGCTTCCCTTGGGTGGAATCATCCTATCCATACGGGGCCAGGTCCCTTCACAAGCTGCCATGTGTTTTACCTGTTGTGATATACTACAGCTGTGTACGCTTCTTTGGAAAATTCAGGACAGCTAGATTTGCCAAAGATGACCTGCAAAAAAGAAAAAAACCACAGAGAAATCCACCTATAAAACTGTGCCAAGAATTCGTTCCATCATCCTGCAGAGGCATTTGCAGCTCCGCTCATGAGTCTGCGCAGCTGAGTACAGTGGCATCTCCCCGTTGCAGGCCCCTTCTCTTACGCGCAAGGCTTTACTGTCACCCAAGAGTCACCTTTCATTGTTCTGGTGTGGAAGCAAAGATGTTGTTCCAAACACAAGGGTGTCCCCTGCAAACATCTCAGGTTAAAATACTAGCTACTATAGCGTTACTTTGCAAACTCTTTATGAAATGTACTCTTTGTTCTGAAATACTGCAATTTTGTATTCCCCCAGACTTATGTATTTCAGAGAGGTTTTCTTTAACACAGGGATTTTACAACTGCAACGTGCACTCTGCCTTATCGGCACGCAGCGTTCTCACGGAGCACAGCGCTTCCCTCACCGGCATAGCATTGCTTGGGTCCTCTCCGTACATGAACTGGACTTTCACAGTGATATTCCTGGCAGACCCTTGGCGGTTGGCGAAGTTAAGGCTCTGGGGATAGACATAAAGAAGATTCCTGCGAGAGACAAAGGCATCGAGTGAGCATCTCCATGTGAGAATGAGAGGGTTCACGCCTTTATTAACGCCATTATTTAGGCCTCTATGGGAAGACTCAAAGTGAAGGGTTTGACATTTTCCATTAGCCAGAAGGTTTTCTCTTCAACACAAGTGCACACCCACAGACGCAATGTGATAGTAACCCCTTGTTTTAGACATCAAAAATCGTATCCTTTTTAACTGCCATCATATTTCGAAATAGTTCCTGTTTATAAGGGTACTTGAAAAATTTAAAAATTTAACAGTGATTCTACAACCTAAGAAGTTCAAGTGGAAAGAAAACATATGAACAGAAGAGCGCTGAGAAGTGTTTATTTGTTCCACACAGAGTGGTGGTTTCTGTTAAATACCGTCCTTGTGACCCGTCCTTTTTGGTTTTCCCTTTTGAATTGTTTTAAATCTCCTTACATCGTGCCGACTTGAGGTCACACCTCCCCTCTGAGGACAGATGAAACTAAATGGGTGTCTGTGCCTCCAGCAGATACACCACCCTTGCAGTGACTGAGATGGTGTTCCAATTCCACACCTGAATACCACACTTGGGGAAGGGTGGGGAAGCAAGAAGAGTCCGGAGCTCTGGAAAAGAGCGGGGATGGCCAGACTGGACCAGGAGCATTTCGTTTTGAGGGAACGGCCGAGGCCGCAGGTAATGCCAACACCCCCAGGTATGCGAAGAACCGCTGCAAAGACCCAAGTAATAAAGTGATTGTCACATCCACAGGGAACACGACAGGACGTAACGGGCTGAAACGGCAGCACCGGAGATTTTGGTTAAACACGAGGGAAAATGGTCTGGCTGTAAGGCTTGTTAAGCACCAGAACAAACTGCCCGGGGCGGATGCGAAATCGCCACTTTCCATTCACTTCTGAGTTCACATGAGGCAAGCAGCTGTCCAGTTTGGTTTATAGACAACCCCCCTGGAGCAGGGGACCACTTTAGAGGCCACTTCCAGGTCCATTCCTCCAAGTCTGTGCTTACTTTTAACACAACAGTGACAAGATGCAAAATTTTACAATATTTTCCATCCTCTCAGACTTCCTGACTCCTTCCCAACGAAGTGCAAGTTGGATTCACACAGTATCAGCAAAACTGTCTGTTCCACGCCCCCACCTGCCCTGTGAGCAAGTACTTTAATACCAGACAGTCACTCGCATGTTCCTAGAAAGGCAAAAAGCCAACAGCCCCTGAACCACTCTACTCAACATAATTATTCGAAGGATTTGGACTTTCTTGTGCCCCCAGACAAGTAAAAGTGTATGAATTATTGTACACCTTTAAAAAGTCAGCCTAGAAATCCCATATCCATGTCCCCCCCAGCCAGCATCACTGCCCCTCGGACACCCTGCTTCCTGCAGCTCCAACAGGAGTGACCGAGAGGGATGCTCTCCCCAGTCAGGGGAGAGGGTCACATTGCTGTCTGGCATCTCCCAGGGACAAAACACTAGCGTGTTGCATTTTGCTCAGATGCTGAAGCAACCAATTCTGTAACAAGCCCTGGCTTGTAAAGCAGGAGGTGAAAGAGGTTCCCTTCCTCTCCGACCCCCTCGGGGAACTATTCAGTGAATCTGAACACAATCTGTAAGTCGTTTCCAACTGTTCCTTGTCCCAGAGAGACGAGACAACAGATGGGCTCAGAAAACTGCAGCGAGGAGCACAGCAGGACAACATTTGAAGTGTAATAAAGCAGCCACTACTGAGAGCTGGAAATAGACTGACAAGAAGACGACCCTTTTTTGGATTGTCAGGAGGGCAGTGACTTGGTTGCTCAGTGAAGGTACCTGGTGCCTCTGAGATGCCATGGGCAGCCGAACCACCAGCGCTGGGCTCATCCTCCCGGCGCGGCAGCTGGGAAGGTGGGCTGCCCTACCCTGCCTGACACTGCGCTACACGTCAATGTTTCAGCAGATGAATCCCACCCCGGGACTTGTTTCTGATGGGAACTCCATGTGCTCCCCAACACCCGTGGGCACTCCCGTCCGGACAGACACAGGCTAATGTTTGTGCTAAGGCATCCTCTAGGAAAAAGGCACCTCCTCTAGGCCAGCACCTCTATAGAGGCAACACCTCTACAGGGGGCAACACCTCTATAGGGTAGCCCAGCTGTACAGCTCCAGAAGGCTACACAGGGCAGCACCCAACCACCGGTGTGCACCCCCGTCCGGACAGACACAGGCTAATGTTTGTGCTAAGGCATCCTCTAGGAAAAAGGCACCTCCTTAGGCCAGCACCTCTATAGAGGGCAACACCTCTATAGGGCAGCCCAGCTGTACAGCTCCAGAAGGCTACACAGGGCAGCATCATGAAGCCAGGCTCTTTTTCACCCCTCCAGGCAGAGGAATATGCTTAGCTGGCATGTGGGAATTTCTTCCCTTTCAAGTCCTTCATGGTGAATTAAGTTTTTGAATCCCATCCCCATTGGTCACTTTCCTTTAATCAATGTTCTCTTACTATTTCAGAGGGGGCCTGAGCAGTTTTTGTGACTCCACTAAATTACTTTGCGCTGGCATGAATACATTCGCTCCTTGATGTTCTTTTTTAAATGAAAATGGATATGAAAATTTACTCTGAAGTGTACATTGCTCATAAAACTTTTATTAAGTATTATTAATGCTTAAGAGAAGGATTTAATGTATTTGTGAAGGCAGGCTACAGGATCCCTATATTAAAGCCAGTCTTATCCTTAGCAATGATTTATGCTGAAGAGCAGAGGCGAGCCTAAACCACGCCTGCAGTTCTCTGACCACCTCTTCTGCTGGGGTTTGGCCTCCCGGGAGCAAAGAAGACATTTCACCAATTTGATGCCACCCGAGAAAGAGGGTCCTAGAGACTTACAAGAAGATATTAGAGCTGATTTTACATGTCAGGCAGGGCTTTTGCTGCATCCTTAACAACATGCACTGGAGGAAATGTACAGGTTGTTCCCCTTTTCATTGCCTTTCTAGGCCCTGCCATGCAAAAGGCTCCGAGGGTGATTATTCTGCATTTCATTAGGAAGAAGCTCATGTTGCTTAGGGCAGTTCAGATACACATACCCCACTGTAAGACAGGGGAGAGTTGGATGCTTCGTCCTGTTCAGGCAGCTTCTCTCCAGACAGTTTCCTGCTATAAGCACCACACTTTTGTTGAGAACTTACCATATAGAGAGGGGAAAAAACATCCCCCGCTTGCACATCAGAATGGGATCTCAAATGAAAATTCCTATTTTACCTTACCCTGAATAGGTAAAAGCTGCAGAACTTCCTGCCTGCCATAAGCACAGTTACAGGAGGCATGGAAAGAGACTCATGGCTGAACACCCGATAGGAACACTATAAATCTCTTCAGGCACCGATGCCACTGCCTAAGAGCCACCCTGGGAGGCTGACTTCTCAGAAAAGGGTAACAGGAGGGAAACCCTCTGATTCACCACATTTCTCCAGTTCTCACCTTATTATCTGTGTGCACAAGTACCTGGGCTCAGCAGACGTCACCAGATAGCAGAGGTGTAGATTAAAGGCCCAGCAGCTCTGATGCTTACCAAGGCAATGCAAGTGGCCTGGCACTGAACGCAGCCTTCAGAAACCACGAGACGACAGCCCAAACCCTTTACTACACACAGGCAGTGGGAAGCGAGAGGAGAGAGCAACTTTCTGCTGGGCAGGCATCGTGGGGAGGTCACATACCAGGGGGTTCAATGCTGTATAGAAGGGATTGACCATGAAAATAACACTGCAACGCCAACAACCATGCTAAGTATGCACAGATTAAACAAAAGGGCTGCTGGTCCTTACGCTTCCAGGTAACAGCTACTCTTTGAAGATACTATTTGCAGATTTCTATCAGTAAAAGTTTTAGCCAGAAGCTTTAAACCCAAGGATTCGTGTCTGGAGCTTTTATTAAAATGCTATGCAAAATGTATGCAAAGCTTATACCATTATCTCAAACAGACCTCAAAAGTACTTTTACCTCCATAAAACGAACGGCTAAAGTGCAAAGGCTTCCCAAGCCATGGAAATAATGGCACCGGGCATGCCTCTAAACATTTATATAACGTGATCGCAGCCATTTTGCAAAATCCTTCATAAAGGTATTAAAACATCAGGAGCTGATCCTAACTCTTAGAGGGAATGTCTAACTGTTATGAAAATTCCCCTTTTCAGTAAAACCCAGAGACCTTTTTCTTCACTTTATTCCTACTATAAAAATCATTTAAAGCCCGTTTAATAAGGGTCACCCAGGTACAAGACAGATCTTCCGGATCATGTTTGTTATATCCATCTTGAGCGCACTAACAGCTCTCAGAGGCAGGATTCCTCCCTGGGGTTTCCCCAGCCCCTGAATCTTACAGCTTAACCATAGCAGCAGCTTTTCTCCGCTCTGCTTTCCTGCATCCTGCTTTTCTTACGGACTCTGTGACAGTTGTGACACCTAAGGGGTATTTTGTAGTAAGCTTGACTTCACTGGCACTGGTGCTCATTTGCAAAGGTGCTTGGCAGCCACTCAAGCTTTTTTAATATTTGACTTCAGAGCATTTTGACTGCCCTTCCCATTTGGAAAACAAACCTTTCTAAAGGGTAGTGTCATCCCCCAGCTTGCCGAGTTACCCTGCACCAGCTGAGCCGTGACAGCTGCGGCACAGGAAGGGGCAGCGCACAGTGACCCGCCGGAACCTCCCAAGCTGCACCAACCTGCTAAATGATCTCCAGTTGCTTGGTTATTGCTATTTCTGGAGTAACTTCCTATGTTTTTTTGAAGACTAAGCCAAGAATAAAGATTTTTGGAGGTGGTGGGGTTAGGAAAAATTCAAAACCATTTAAAACAAAACTGAGAAAAGACTTCTTGTAAGAAATAGCTAAAACAACAAAAAATTACTCATTTGAAACGCTGTAAAACCAGAGCCACTCAAGTACTTTGAAGTGGATCGCAGAAAGTCTATACTTCTTTTGTTTTTTTCATTTTGCAACCAGTTCTTCAAGTTTTGCAGCCCAAAACCCCTGTGTCAGATACCAGAAGCTGCACTTTGTTCCCTATCACAGAGCAGTGTCGGGCCCAGATAAAAAACATGCCTAAACTTTGTCTACACACGTGAAACTCCAATGAGTTTCCCTGCAGAAATTACAAATCCTTCCAAAGCACGTGCTTATCCTACTTTTTTAAACACTGGTAGTGTTTAAATAGGGCTGTCAGGTATTATGTATCTTGGTCTACCATTCAAAGCAAAAACTATGGAACCTTTCAAAGTTAAAGCGTTAAGAACCAGAACAACTTCCCACAAGGGTACAATCTAAGTGCCGTAAGTGCTGTCCAGGTCCTGTTGTGCTTTGGTTTTATTTACTCATTTGAACAGCTCTTCACACATTCCGGTTGGTATTACCAAATGAGGAAATGCTGCAGGAATGATGCCGCAAAGCAAACCCTCCAGGCTGATCACTGTCCCATGAATAACCCTAATTGTTCTCACGCTTTTTCAGACAGATTTTTAGTAAGGTTGAGTAAGCACTGATTTGATGAGTTTCTTTGGAAACCAACCTGAAAAAATGCAGATTTTTAATAGGGCAGAGACAGCCTTCCACTGAACAGCTTCTCAGACTAGAACCTCGTGGACATCCCTTGTGCAAGCACTCAGCCTTGCCAAAGCCAGGTCTCTGGAACCCCATGCCATGCACATCAGGGAATTCATCATGATAAACACTCATTATCACAATAAAATTAAGAATAAAAATAGTGATTATCATTTAATTCCTACTTGCTAGACTTTTACACGTGGAGTTAAAATACAGTGCCAATAAAAAAGGCAAAGCAGAACAGATTAAACGGTATTTCATGTTAGCAAAATTCCTTGTTCAGTGCTGTCTCCATGCAGACTGAGCTTCCCAGCTGCATCACTAGACTATTTTTACTTCACTCTGCCTGATGAAACAGCTACCCAGCCCAACCACAATACCGCCCAGAAGCACTTGATTCAGGAACACAGCAGACTCCCCACTGCCCAACGCCAACGGAATGCTTACCCGCTGAATAAGCAGCACCAACCACAATAAACCTGAATCTCTGCTCTGGGGAGACCTCCCTGCAGTTCTGTGTCCAGCTCTGGGGCCCAAACAGCAGGAGGACACGGAGCTGTAGAAGCGAGTCCAGAGGAGGCTCCGGAGATGCTTCGAGAGCTGGAGGCCCTCTGCCATGGGGACAGGCTGGGGGAGTTGGGGGGTTCAGCCTGGAGAAAGGAAGGCTCTGGGGAGACCTTAGAGCCCCTTCCAGTGCCTGAAGGGGCTGCAAGAAAGGGGGGGGGGCTTTTCCTAAGGGCAGGGAGTGACAGGACAAGGGGTCATGGGTTTAAATTGAAAGTGGGCAGATTGAGATGGGACATCAGGAAGAAATTCTTCCCGGAGAGGGCGGGGAGGCACTGGAACAGGCTGCCCAGAGAAGCTGTGGATGCCCCATCCCTGGGAGTGCCCAAGGCCAGGCTGGATGAGGCTTGGAGCAACCTGGTCTAGTGGAAGGGGTCCCTGCCCCTGGCAGGGGGGGGGACTAGGGGGGCTTTAAGGTCCCTTCCCACCCAAACCGCTCTGTGATGCTATGAATACTTTCACATTATTTAACTATGGGTGAGGAGGTTACCTGAGTATTATCAGCCCTTCATCACACATATAACAGAGATCCTTTGCAGAACAGGACATCTATTTTACAGTACTTGCAGACTTGCTTTTATGTAGTGTGAATCTTAAACAGTAAGGAGAATGGTCAGGTGAGAAATATAAGTGAGATTATTTATCTCACTCACCTCTAGAAAGCAGCTCTTAAAAAATAAGTTTTATATGGTGTAAATTACTGCACAAACCTTAACATAGTAGAATCACATCCAGGCAATCTCTGGACCTAATTCCCTCTTTCTCACTTAATCTGAACTAGATGACAAGTAAATCCACTGCAGCACAATGAGTTACATCAGAAAATGGTACAAGATGAGAACCAAGTTGTGTGAATCATCTGGGAGTATTTTCCCCTCCCATAGCTTATCAAGTTGCTGCACAACCTGAAACACAGCATCCAGTGCTCTTAAGTACGGTAAACCCTTTTATACTCCTGAGGCAATAAAAAGAATCATACAACACAAACAAGAAGCAATTTAGGCCCTTATCAAGATTATGACCCAAAATTAATCTATTAAAAAGCGGTGTGTAAAAAACACCACGCCATCAATAACATTTTATAACAGAAGGTCTGGCAGATGGAAAAGTTCAGAACCAGTTTAATCAGCAACATGCCCGTCTCTCTTCCCAGATATCAACCTACATTCAAGAGAGGTTACATTCGTTCAAATACACACAGTTTAATGATCAACTCTTTGGTCTGCCTCTTCGAAAATGAAGAGGTGTAAGAGCAGTATAAATAGATCAAATTCTTCAACCCAGGACAGTCACACAGCAGAAACTGTTAGCAGGAAAAGTCTCTGCATCCTGAACAACCAAAGCATATCTCAGGAGCAGAAAACATGAAAATCATTCTGGTCTTTCTATTCATTGCCTCACTTGCTCTTTTGGCTAGAGCTGAGAAGGATTATTCCTCCTTGGATTCTGCTGCGTCTCCCGAGACGAAGTCAAGATTTGCCATGCTAGATGATGTACGAATCTTAGCCAATGGACTCCTCCAGCTTGGGCATGGTCTTAAAGACTTTGTCCATAAGACGAAGGGGCAGATGAATGACATCTTTCAAAAACTTTACATTTTTGATAGGTCTTTCTATGAGCTCTCCCTGCAAACCAGTGAAATCAAAGAAGAAGAAGAACAGCTCAGACAAACTACGGCCAGACTGCAAATCAACAATGAAGAGATAAAGAATCTCTCACAGGAGATGAATTCGAAGATTGAGGACCTCATACAAAACAAAATCCAGCTACAAGAGAAAGTATGGGGACTGGAAGACAAAGTCACAAAACTGGCCATTATCCAGCCTTCAGTGCAAGACACAAAAGAAATTTCTTCACTCAAAGTAAGTAGACTTGTGAAAGCCGCTGACACAAAGCCAAAGTAAACGGTAATGCTGTTATCGGTAGTTATGCAAGAGCAGCTCATGTTTCCCTGCATCTTCACTGATAAATCACTGCAATGGTCTTAAAAGAATCAGCATCTTAATCTGAAATATTGTTTATTTTACAGTAAAATTCCCCAGTGAAATCAGTGGGAAAATGGTGAAATTATAAGGCTCACTATCTTCTTCGGTATTTTTCAGCAAATCAGTTTTAAGAAATTCTGTGATAATGATTTAAAAACTTTCAGTCAGGAAAGTGATGTGATTACTGAGCTCATAGGTTTGTACATCATCAGCTCATGACAAATCGATGCACTGGAAAAAGCCTGCTCAGTAGAAAACCAGGAAGTTTAAACCCTTCAAGAGGGATATTTATAGTACCTATATGACCTCCATGACCAAAGAACCCTGCAAGTGTTAATAGACTCAGTGTCAGTACAGTGCAAGTATTTAGATGGGCACAAGGTTTCTTATGGAAAAGGATGTATTAACTGTATTTTCCAGAAGCATTAATAAGGCTAAGAACTCATGTGAGAAAATACTGGGTATGCCTTTCAAAGCAAAAAGATGAATCCAGATCTCCTAAATCCCAAGTTAATATCCTAAATGCTGGGAATCATTCCCTTTTTTGACTGGTGGCATACATTTAGTTTGAATCAAGGGCCAACTTCACAGAACGTTAATTGTTCTGGACAATCAAATGGAAGGAAAATAACAACAACAAAAGGTTGTGAAGGTCTTCTGCTGCTTCTAACCACAACCCCCCTCCCTCCCTGTCCTCAGGCTTTTGTGGAGCAGCAGGATAACCACATCAAGCAACTTCTCAAAATTGTAGAGGATCAGCACGTGCAACTTGACAGACAGCACAATCAAATAATGGATCTGGAGGACAAGGTACAGGAACCATCTCCATTTCTCTTTTCACAACTGGTCATCTCCCCTAGCACTGAAGGAGCCAATGGCCAACCATCCACTCGGGTCAGCCATCCCTCGTGTTCACAGTTTGTGGGCGTAGGGGAGGGTACAAACAATTTTGACTGCAAACACATACCTCTTTGGGGGAGAGACTGCTGTGTGCCAGGCAGGGGGCTACGGCCAGGGCCAACAGTGACCAAGAACACAGCTCTGAACAGTCTATAGAGCCAGGCTGCTCTATTGTTTCTGACTGGGTTTTCTCCTCTTATTATCTATCATATTATTGTTCTCCCATTGGTCTTCTGAGTATCAATTACTTCCTATCTCTTTCTTCTTTTCCAATATTCACTCCAATAGGGAGCCACGTTCTGCAGTTCAACACGTGTCACCGTAACGCTGGGTACAACCAACACGCTCCCATTTAGTTTATTCCTAAGAGGAGGCTATAAAAGGAAAATGCATTTCCGCCTAAGGAATGTGGGTTCTTTAGATGTTGGTATTATTTGTCTAAGTGATGTCATCCGAGGAAATAAGTTAAACCGAGGAAATAAGTTAAACCTGTTGGCCCATTAAGGTGCACCTCGTGAGAACGGGTCATTTACTCGCCTCACGAACCCTACCTTGTTTGAGCAGAGGCACAACTGACATTCACGCAACTGGAATCCACCAGTGCGGTTCCACAGTTATTTTTATGTTGCAGATTGAGGATCCTAAAGGATTACATTCACAATCAAAATAATTCTCTGCACGACACTGTTTGGCTTGCTACACGAATCTCATCATTTGAGAGTCTTGGGAAATTAACAGTCTGTAATCACGGCTCTTTCAGCTAAACCACATAGAGCTCCAGGAACTCGCAGAGAACTCCTTCCCGGGGGAGCAAACAGAACCAGAAGGCATCTCCTTCCCTGTGCGCAACGCCACGGCTGTGACGTACAAATCTGATGGTGAGACCTCGTCTCGCAGACGGGACTGCACGATGCCTTGCTTTCAGGAATCTCTGTAAAATTTTTGTGGGGGTTTTTAATAGTCAAAGACTAAAAGCAAAAAGAGCTGTGGAAAGGAGCTGGATGCCACGCTTTGGAAAATGCTGACATCTATTTAGCCCCACTATCCGTGTACTTGTTTCTGGGGTGGCATACAGAAACAGCGACCAATAATGCCGCAATGCTGTCCTCAGCCTCCTTCACCCCTTGTCAACACGTGCTGTGACCATCCTGCCACTGGCACGTCTGACGCTCTCGATGACTGCCTTGGGGCGTATGAACAGAACTAGTTTGCTTCCCACTGGCTAATTCTAAGATTTGGAGGAGCTTTCTTTAAAGCCAAGAGGCATCATCCAACTGTGGCAATGGGAATGGTATTTATTGGGAACTTTACAAGTGGTAGAAAAGTCCATTTGCCAGAGTCTAGTCTTAGGCCTTACAGACTTTCAAAAACTCTCTAAATTGAAACACTGCCAAACATAAAAAATATAGGTGGACCAACCTACATAAAACCTGGCAACTGCACTACCAATCTCAAAGAAGTTGGTCCATTCCTGGGCATTTATTGTAAAATACAAATCATCACAAAGATTGTTCCAGTTTTTGTTTTGGCTCTATCCCATATAGAAATTCAAGTTGCAAAGCCGGATCTAAAGTTTACCACATCCAAACCAGGATTTGTAACGGCCTGCTGCTCACTTTCCAGGTGCTGCTCTTGACTGCACTGCTCTCTACAACAGCGGCACGCGGTCCAGTGGTGTCTACACTATTAAGCCCAACGGCTCAGAAGCTTTCGATGTCTACTGTGAAGTGAAACTTGGTAAGACAACTATGCCAGCAACAGTCTAACTTTCGCAGAAGTAGTTTCTTATAAGCCAAAAAAACTTCCTCATCCCAAAGTACACACAAACTTCTCACGCTTTATGTATCCTCTTACTGGCCTGTCTGTGCTCTGACCTCAGGTTTCCCGTATCCTGAAGTCTCCTTAACACTGCTTTCATTCTTTACACACTTCTTGCTTATACCAAGGAAAGAACTTTCAACCGTGTGACATAAATTAAGTATATTAAAAAAACCAAGTCCCTTTAGCTAATGAAAATGGCAATTATAATAGCCATTATATTGCAACCGCAAATAGCTTTTCCGAATAAAAGCAAAAAGGAAATAGTAAACACCTTAGTAAAATTTTGTTTCATCAACAAGGGTTATTGCTTGAGACTTAGACATACCAAACTAACCCAAAGAGGCGAGTCCTGGAGACAGGATTCCTGGATGATGTTTGGATGAGTCTGTAGCTACGTATCATATAGGTCCAGAATTGTCAGGGCCAGAATGCACAGCACCTCCCCGTTAGTCTGTTCCTTTTGCCACTACCCAGAGGTCCCCCAGCATTTGGCCAGTTCACTGTGTTTTTCAGGCTGCAACGCTGCATCCTGCAGTGTTGCTCTGTGCGTGTCCTGCTCAGCTTCCCCGCACGCTCCCTTCTCCACAGCTACCTGGGGAGCCTGGGAACAGACCGACAGGAACGTGGCAGGGCAGCGTCATTTGTTCGGATGAGTAAACAGAGCAGCATGGGGTTGCCCTGTGCAAAAAGCTCCTTTGCTTACATTTGTTGAAACAAGGGTGTCATGACCTGGTCAGGAGGAAGACCCCACGCCCTAGTATGGGCACGGCCTCCAACGCTTCCTGCCTTCCATGGAGTCACGTTCCCAGCCGCCAAGCACTATCAGCAGAGGCAGTCTGACCATCTAATCTAATGTCTGGCACATTTCATATCTCTTTTTTATCATCTGCTCTATGTCGGTGTTTCTCAGCCCTCACAAAGAAATGAAACCCAGTTAAGGCAGCTCAACAAAACCAGACCAGTGAGCTGAGTCACCGCGAGTGCGGCAGAGGACACGTGAATGGCCCCACCTTCTCCTCAGCTGCACCCACTCAAATTTCTTTCACGAAGATTTAGGCTCTCATTCTGCCTCGAAACTGGAGCACACACGGGCACGCTCACGGACAGTTAATAAGGCCAAGATGAGTTGAGCATCTGCTCTCCGTACAGCCGAGAGGCTTTACAGCTCCGCACACGTGCACTCAGGTCTGCTGCAAAATGCAGCGCAAATGGGATTCCTATGGAGCTCCCTTCAATGCAAACCCTTTCTCTTCTCCACTGCAGCAGTGAACGAGCTCGCACGAGAGCAGCCCCCGCAGAGCAGTCTGTAGCTCAGCGGCTGACGGCCTCAGTTGCTATCCATCTCCCCTCTCAGGCTTTAAACACTTAAGCCAGTCTCCTGACTTATCTCCCCTTCGCTTCTGCAGGCAGCGCCTGGACTGTAATCCAGAACAGAGTGGACGGATCACTAGGTTTCAATCAAACCTGGGATGCCTATACGAACGGTTTTGGTGACCTCAATGGTAAACATGCCTTTTTTTGTGTCTTTTCTTTGTATCAGTTGATTTGAGAAGCTGAGTCTTCTTAGGGAAAGGTGTTCCCATGAGAGCAGACAAAACCAGCAGTCAGATCTGAACAGCTCACCTAGCTGGGAGAACACCAGAAAATGGAACCCGGTAAAATTCTCAAAGACATACTTTAAAACCTGTGGTTAGAAACTTGCTGAATCAAGGCCAGAATATTTACATTTATT